CCCCCCACCCCCCCACCCCACCCCCTGCAGCAAGTCCAAAATCAAGAGGCCGAGTTAGCAAACTCGGCAAGTGGATTTTGAGACCTTTTATGATGATCGTACATGACGAAAGTGCTGTAAATACCGAGTAAAACGGATGTGCTCTTAAGATGGTTTTAGGCAAGTGTAGTTGGTTGGGGGGGGGGGGGGGCGCCTACTAGGCTAGTAGTAGTAGTAGTAGTAGTAGTAGTAGTAGGTGTAGTAGGAGTAGTAGTAGTAGTAGTAGTAGTAGTAGCAGCAGCAGGAGTAGTAGTAGTAGTAGTAGTAGCAGCAGTAGCCGCGGCAGGAGGAGTAGCAGGACTAATAATAATCTAGTCGCAGCGGCGGTGGTAGCGGTGTTGTCTGGTGGTAGCAGCAGCAGTAGCCGTCGTGACAGAAGTGAGTCCTCGACTGCTTATTCTGACATATTCTAACCCCAATACTACGACGACGCCTATTAACACCACCGCACCACCACCACAACGACGACGATTAATACTACCATTGCTACCTGGTTGTGTAAAGCTACCATACTACTTGCTTTTGCTTTTGCTGCTGCTGCTGCTGTCACTCCTCCTCCTCCTCCTCCTTAATAAATCTAACTGCGAGACCATCGGGCGGCTGGCCCCAGAAACTTTCGGGTTGAAGGCTTCCATGCTTTCGACAGACCGTGGGCTCGGGACTCTTTTGTTACGAACAAGTTCGTACTCAACGGTCTGGAGTCTGGGCCGCTGCCGCTACGATCTGAAGCTACCCTGAAACCCACTTCTCTGCTCACAGAGGCAGACGCCACGAAGGAAGCGCACAGCGAACCGCCGAGGAAGGCCAAAGAGATTAGCAATTTGGACCTGAGCCGGAGGTCTCTTCCAGTTGTTCCCGTGACATCAAGAACCAAGATATTTTCGGGCAGGTCCTGCAGGTCTTAAGCAACCCAGAATGTTACTTGCTCCTTGCTAGCCAATCTGCAGGTAGCAGTGCTCAAAGAAGACAAAGGAGATCAAGTCAAGGAGGGCGAGCTTTCATCATCGAAACCCTAGGCCCAGGTCCGTACCCCAAAACTTCAGCTTGGAAATTCCACGCTTCGAAAACTTCAGCCAAGAACTTCGAAACCCCCCCTGAAAGCCACCACCGAAGCCCCGCATCTCGAAAGCATGAAGCAATGCAGCAGCCAGCTGAGCACGACCCAGCCCCGAATATTGCCCAGTATAGTCCGCAAGCTCTCAGAAGGTCAACTGGCTCTGTGTGACCAATATGTCGCATCACACTATGGCATTGCATTCCGGCAAATTACATCATCTGATGTTCTACTTATCTTCATGCAGCCGAAAGGCATGAAGGGGCCGAAGGCAGGGATCAAGGCGGAGACGACGTCCTGCACATGGGAATGTACCGTGCTGGCACAAGGTGCGCAGATCGTTTAAGCTGGCGAGCCGCCAAGGTTAAATAGGCAAGTTGAACCATCAAGAACTCCGAGCTGTACGAACTCTTGTCTCTTTTCAGCGAGCGCTGGCTTGAACCGGCATATCGGCACATCAACAAAACAGTTTGTGGGACAAGTCCGCCACCTCTGTAGTGGAGGGGGGGGGCGCCCATCAACAAAACAGTTTGTGGGACAAGTCCGCTACCTCCGTAGTGGAGGGGGGGGCGGCCGCACACCAAAATTGTCACAGGTTTTCACCCCTCAGGCGGTTTGCACCGCTGGAAAACGTATCTACTCAAAGAGTCTCAGGAGATGTGACCGCGACCTATGCCTTTGAGGCTACGTCATTTACAGGGACACCCACGACTGTAGCACCCCCAGCGACAGGGGAGGCCGGTGTCGGGGTAGGTTTACGAAAACAAAAGAAGTATGCAGCGATGCCAACCACAAGCAGCACCAAAGGAATGCCCAATCCAAGCCCCAAGCCCAAAGCGAGCGGATCCGGGCCAGTGTCACTGTCACTGGCCGGGGGATTTGCGCGAACCGCGCACAGGTGAACTTGATGCTCGTAGGCGTGGATGCCTGCACAGTCATGACTGCCGCCGGCATCATATAGCGGGCAGTCTGTATGCTCTTGCGGGTCACGCGCCTGACTGGAATAAAGGTTGCGCATGTAGGTAAGCCCGCATGGGCCCGCGAAAGCATCGCCGTAAAGCGCGTGCATCAAGTCACTGAGCAACGTCTGCGGCTGTGCTGGCATCTGTTCAAACCAGCCACTGCCAACATGGCCGGTCCAGGGATTGGGATCGCTCACCGAGCCGTCGACTCGATAGACTGCCTGTGCTTCCCGCGCCATCAGGGTCACGCTGCTGCTGCCAAGACTGAAACTCGAAACAAAGTCATCCAGCGTGTAGTCTGCATGGTTTAGCACGTACGTCTCGTCAATGATGACATCAGCTGACGCGAGGTGCTGCAAGTAATGCTCCAGTCCATCCTGGTTGCATTCATAGGTCCCCGAGCCATCCGAGTTGGTCGTCAAAGT